ATGATATGCCTCCATTGAAACATTGGGTTTGGCCCCGCGCCCGCCATTTTCTACCCTCGCTGTGAAGCCCTTCAGAAGCGCACGCCTAATCTGCGAAGCCCAACCCCCCTACGCAATGTCAACCTTCAGATGCCCAGGAAAAGACGGAGGTTGAGCCAACTGACGAGGAGAACTTGCTGGAAACTATGCGTTCAGCATGCCGTGTCAGGTTTTCAGGAGGAAATGGTGCCCAGAAGGCCACACCACCTCGAACCGAAAAAGCAGCGCCTGCAGCAGCAAAAGAGCCCTCAAACCTGTACCTTCGGACTTAGTAACTTAGAGCTCGGAGAGTCACGGCCCGGAATACGTAGGATTGGTAGGATTTGGTGTAAGAAAGCCTAGCAGCCGTGAAGGAGATGGCCACCACGACGGACACTCGGCGGGTGAGTTTTTTTGGGGGGTTTTGGAGGTTGCAGAGCACGGGCTATCACTACTGTCATTGGCGCTGTGATTGTTATTCTTTCTATTGCTATCATTGTAACCATTGCTATGGTTTTACTTTTAAGTATTCCTGTTGGTATTAAGCTTTTCATACCGATGCCACAGGTTGATTTGTCGAGTTGGCATCGAGTCTTGAAGGGCGGGTAGGTAACTTTGAAGTTTTTTTGGTACCATAAGGCCTTTAGACTCCCAAGTGCCCCTTGCATACCGGACAAGTAAGAACCGTAGACCCTAAGCCCTAAACCCCTAAACCCCTAAACCCTAAACCCTAAACCCTAAACCTGCCGTAAACCCTAAGCCCTTACTTCCAATGCTGAGGCTGCTGAAGACGTGGGAGACTCGACGACCGCGACGGAGGCTCGGCCACTCGGAGGTTTGGGTGCTGCTGCTCTGGGCCGTCTCTGAAGCCATAAAGCTTATAGGTTTAGGGGTTTAGGGGTTTAGGGTTTAGGGTTTAGGGTTTAGGGTTTAGGGGTTTAGGGGTTTAGGGGTTTAGGGGTTTAGGGGTTTAGGGGTCTAGGGTGCAGGGATAACTTAAACCCACAATCTGGATTATGAGCAGATTTTTGGTTGTTTTTCCACGGTTTGGGGCTTAGGGGTTTAGGGTTTAGGGATAAGTTAACCCCACAACCCGAGGTTCTGAAATCAGGACCCTAAAGCTTGTATCCAACATCCTGAACTTGAAGAGCCCTCAGTTGTGAATGGAAAACCCTAAAGCCCTAACCCTTACTGAACTTTAAGCGCAAAGCCTCAGGCTTTAACCCTGTTAAACCCAAGCCGCTAAACCCTAAACTCAAACCCTATAAGCCCAAGCCTAAACCCCTAGACCTGTAACCAGATAAGCTTGAACCCCAAACCTGTCACCTTTGACCCAAAGCCCTCAACCTTCAACACCCCTAGCTTAACCTGCAAACCAAGTCCAAACCCTAACGCTCAAACCTGTAAACCGTGGAAGCTCAAGCCCAAAAGCTGGGTATGCTTCAGCCCTAAACCCCCCCTAAACCCTAAACCCTAAACCGTAAACGGCCCGAAACCCCAAGCCCGCTAAACTCTTCGGAATCTTCCACCCTCAGCCTGACAGAGCTTTTATAGCACCCCTTTGGTAGTACCGTTTATGCTAGAATTCAGAGTACAATGTGGATCTTGTAGTGGCCCTTGTAGAACCCTCAAATTGCTTGAGCTGATCGGCTGGGTGTTGCCCCTAAACCCGAAACCCTGAACCCTAAACCCTAAACCCTAAACCCTTCTCCTGAAAGGCTTCCGCCGATCCTTTTAAGTACCTCGTGCTCGCGACAGGCGCGAGCAGCGCAAAAAGCCCTAGACCCGAAGGCCCACCTAAGCCCCGTAGTTTCGGTTTTAGGCTTTGGGGTTTAGGGTTTAGGGGTTTCGGGGTTTAGGGGTTTCGGGGTTTAGGGGTTCAGTGGTTTCGGGGTTTAGGGGTTTCGGGGTTTAGGGGTTTCGGGGTTCAGGGTTCCTGGACCCCTCGACCCCCTAGGCTCTGAGCCCTATGCCCTGCTGGGTTCGGAGGTTTACAGGGGGACTTTTTCCTTCGAAAGCTGGGGTCGAGGCGCTGGGATCTAGAGTTAAAGGAAACTACAGATGCGGAGTTTCGGGTACATAGGGCTTCTGTAAGGCTTCCATATGGTACATAGACCTTCTATAAGGCTCCTATGACGGTAACTACAGACCTGAAAATGTCCTAGATAGAGGGCATCTTCGGCACCTTCCCTAAACCCGAAACCCTTCTAGTGTAGAGAAAAGAAGCCCTAAACCCTAAACCCCAGCTCAGGGGGCCCAGAGATCGGGCTTTACTGTCGAAACTCTAAGGTTGAACAGTTTTTTTTTTTTATTATCGTCCTAGGTCCACCAAAAATGCCCGTCAAGAACCGATTGAACGCCTTCATACACCCCTTCTTCAAAATCCTTACACGATAGACTTTAAAGCACTTGTAAACCCTTACAGCCAGACTACTATTCATGAGGTGATTGTAGTGTCCCATGTAGCTTCGGGGCGCCCTTCTCTTTGTTTTTTGGAGCCCTAAACCCTAAACCCTAAACCCTAAACCCTAAACCATAAAACCCTAAACCCTAAACCCTAAACCCTAAACCCTCACGTGTCGCCGAGGCTATTTCAGAAGCATCGTGAGCCCCAAGATCCCGATTCCCACGTCCCGAGACCCGCAACCCCGAGACACGGTTCAGGGTTCAGGGTTTAGGGTTCAGGGTTCAGAGTTTAGGGTTTAGGGTTTAGGGTTTAGGGTTTAGGGTTTAGGGTTTAGGGTTGAGGGTTCAGGTTTGAGAGTTTCGGGTTTAGGGTTTAGGGTTTAGGGTTCAGGGTTCAGAGTTCAGAGTTTAGGGTTTAGGGTTTAGGGTTTAGGGTAATTTTCAGGGTTTAGGGTGTAGGGTTCAGGGTTCAGAGTTTAGGGTTTAGGGTTTAGGGTTTAGGGTTCAGGGTTTAGGGAACAAGGGTTTCAGAGTTTAGGGTTTAGGGTTTAGGGTTCAGGGTTCAGAGTTTAGGGTTTAGGGCCTGAGCGCCTCGAAATCCTCAACTCCAACACGCAGGAGGCTTGATGGCGTCGCCCTCCAATGGCCCCTTGGCAACAGGCTTTCTTCCCGAAAGCGTTCGGGCCTTATTGCGTTGGGAGCGTAGAGTGTTATCTGGAGCAGACCCCAAGCAGGCAGAAGACACGATAGCCAACCCTAAGCCCCAAGCCCTGGACCCCAAACTCCAAAGAAACCCCAAACCCTAAATCCTAAACCCTAACGAAGCAACAACCACGGGAAGAGAGTGTGAAGGAGATGGGCATAATATAGAAGCTTGAACAAGGTTTAGAGTTTGGGGTTTAGGGTTTAGGTTCCTTAATGTGGGAGTTTCCGGAAAAAGTGGGGTACCTTATTCTTGGGGGTCCTTAGAATACGGATCCTACTAGTTGGGGCCTCACGATAGCCCAAGCCCTACACCCCCCCAGACCCTCGCACCCTCAATCCCGAAACCCAAAACCCCTAAACCCTTATATAACAACAAACCATAAAGCCTCATGTTGAGAACCATAAACCCTGAAACCCTAAACCCTTATATAATAAACCATAAAGCCTCATGTTTAGAACCATAAATCCTGAAGCCCTAAACCCTAAACCCTAAACCCTAAACCCTAAACCCTAAACCCTAAACCCTAAGCCCTAAACCCTAAACCCTAAACCCTAAGTCCCAAACTCAGCTTTTTCCTGGCCCTGGCCGGCAGAGACTGCGAACATGCCTTGTTCGGCCCCTCGACCTTCGAATGAGGCGGTGGGTTAGGGCTTTGGGGTTTAGGGTTTAGGGTTTAGGGCTTTGTCATTTGGGGTTAGAGTTCTCAGCGTGTCAGGCTTCAGGGTTTTAGGGTTAGGCTTCGGGTCGGGTTCCTTAAAAGGGTTCAACAGGGTGCCATGCGTTTTCCGAAAATCATGTTGTTGTTTCTCTTTTGGGGGCAGGGGGTTTAGGCTAAGGTGTATTTTTTTTGAGGAGGGGGCGGGGTTGGGTTTGAGGTGCGTGGTGGAAGTTGAAGTGTAAGCCTTGGGGGCCAGCACCCAGCTTTCAAGATGTGTGTTTCCAGCCTTGTCATCTTGAAGAAGGTGAAGGAGCTTTGATGGGGATTCTAACATAGGGGCCTTTAAGAATTATTTATATTACTTTAATGGTTCCTTAAATAAATAAATAAATAAATAAGGCCCCTACATTCTTTTAAGACAGCCTTCAGGCTTAAATCCCGCCCTCCCCCCCCTTCCGAAGCCTAAAAGCCTAAGCTCTTTAGGGTTTAGGGTTTAGGGTTTAGGGTTTAAGAGAGAGAGGGAGAGGGAGAGGGAGAGGGAGAGAGAGAGAGAGAGAGAGAGAGAAAAAAGAAGGAGAGAGAGGGAGGGAAAGAGAGACAGACAGAGAGAGAGAGAGGGAAAGCTGGAAACCTTAAACCCTCAAGCTCTACACCCTTGAAGACTTAAACCCTCAAACCCTTAACCCCGGAAAAAAGGGGGAGAGAGGGAGAGGCTACCGTTGCAGCTGAGGCTCAAAGTAGCGGCTTGGGGCAGATGGCCCAACTCAGAAGTAGACTGTAGGAGGCTGAACAACTCGTGGTAGTCCTGGAGGTTCCCTTTTGTATTCCCTATATACGCTTTAGGGATGTTCCTGCAGGTTTCCTTCTACATCGGTTATGCTTTAGGCTTTAGGGTTTAGGGTTTAGGGGTATTCCTTGAGGTTTTTACATCCCTCATGTTTGGTTTAGGGTTTGCGGGTAGTCTTGGAGGTTTCCTAATGTATGTTAGTACAGCAGCCCAGAGCCCTATGCAAGGCCCAGTCTTTACGAGCTCTACTACCAGTTTTAAGGAGTGAATCGCCAGGTTTAGAGGTTTTTAGAGTGTTATCCGTGAGCTTTAAGCCTCCTCGACCGACAAATCCGGATCTTGTATTCGCCCTTCTCAAGTTCAGGGGGGCTTATGGCTTAGGGTTCACTGTGTAAGGGCGTAGGAAGTGGATCAGGCTAGGAGCCATGTCAGTGCATCTCGACGTGGTTGTCATGAGTGGAAGGAGGGCTCAGATCTCTGCGGATCTGGGCACAACTATCCACGAAATACAGCAGCGCGCACGAAGGATTTTAGAAATTGGGCATGGCGTGCTGTTGAATGCCAAGGGGGACAGGCTGGCCTCCATTGCCACTGTGCGGCAAGCTGGCCTGGAAAATGGGGACGTCTTGACCTTGCAGATAAGGCACGCCCGCATTGCAAGCTCCTCTGAAGCAATTGCTGTTATTCGCGGCGATGGCACTGTGACTAGCTGGGGAGATCCTGACCACGGAGGCGACTGTCAGGCTGTACTGAAGGAGCTCCATGACATCGAGATGATAAAATCATGCGATTCAGCCTTTGCCGCCATTCGCGCAGACGGGCGGGTTGTGACTTGGGGACATTCCAGTTTTGGAGGGAATAGCAGTGCCGTGCAGGAACGTTTGAGCGATGTGACGCAGATTCAGGCCTCGGAGAGGGCATTTGCTGCAATCCTCAAAAACGGAGATGTTGTGACTTGGGGCCATGCCTCGTACGGCGGTGACAGCAGCTTCGTCCAGCATCAGCTGCGGAATGTGCAGCAGATACAAGCTTCGAAGGGGGCCTTTGCTGCGATATTGGCTGACGGATCTGTTGTCAGTTGGGGCATTCCAATGTATGGTGGCGATAGCAGCTCTGTCCAAGGCCAGCTGAAAAACGTTCAGCAGATTCAGGTGACTCTGGCGGACTACGGCGGAGCGTTTGCCGCTTTGCTGGAGAGTGGATCTGTGGTGACCTGGGGCGCTCGCTATCATGGTGGCGACGCTTGGGCCTTTTCATATCCGCTACCCTAAGACTTTTTTCTCGGTGGTCTTAGAGTCTTACCTGAACATGTACCCCTTCACTCTCCGAAGACCTGATGAGCCCAACCAAGGACAGCAGCTCCGTTCAGCATCAGCTTTGGAATGAGGCTTTGCAGCAAACCCTAAACCCTAAACCCCGGTTTAGGGTTTAGGGGTTTAGAGTTTAGGGTTTTGGGGTTAGGGGTTTAGGGGTTTAGGGTTTAGGGTTTAGGGGTTTAGGGTTTACGGTTTAGAGTAGTCTCTCACCTTTCTAAACCCCATCTGATCCCACAGTCAACCTTTAGTTCCCGGATACGACCCTGAACCCTAAACCCCAAACCCTGAACCCACAAACTTGAACCCTAAACCACAAACCCTGGACCCTGTAGCAAACCCTAAACTAAACCTTAAACTAAACCCTAAATCCTAAACTAAGCCCTAAACCCTAAACTAAACCCTAAACCTGGACCCTAAACCCTACACCCTAAATCTAAATTCTAAACTAAACCCTAAACCCTAAACCCTAAACCCTAAGAATTGGGACAAGTAAGGTGGAGTCCATCCAAGCCTCAGACAGCGCCTTCGCAGCTCTCCGGAGGGATGGGTCCGTGGTCGCTTGGAGCTGGCTTTAGGGTTTAGGGTCTGGGATTAAGGGTTTAGGGTCTAGGGATTAGGGGTTTAGGGTCTAGGATTTTGGGGTTTAGGGTTTGGGGTTTTGGGGTTTGGGGTTTAGGGTCTAGGGATTAAAAGTTTAGGGTTTGGGGAATTGGGGTTTGGGTTTAGGGTTTGGGGTTTCGGGTTTGGGGTTCTGGGGTTTGGGGTTGGGGTTTGGGGTTTAGGGTTTGGGGTTTAGGGTTTGGGGTTTGGGGTTTTGGGGTTTAGGGTGTGTAGGGTTTGGGGTTTAGGGTTTGGGGTTTGGGGTTTAGGGTCTGGGATTAAAGGTTTAGGGTTTGGGGAATTGGGGTTAGGGTTTAGGGTGTGGGGTTTGGGGTTTAGGGTTTAGGGTTTGGGGTTCAGGGTTTGGGGTTCAGCGTCTAGGGATTAGGGTTATGGCGAGTCTTTTGAGTTGGAGGATGTTTGAGGTTTGTGATTTAGGGCTTAGGGTTCAGGGATACCAAGGTGACCTGGGGAAACTTCTTCTCTGGTGGCGACAGCAGCCAGGTGCAAGATCAGCTCATCAACGTGCAGAGGATTCAAGCCTCTTACCGAGCATTGGCGGCTCCTGGGTTTTTGCTGGGAAACCGAGGTACCCTGTTGCTCTCTTTTTTTCGCTTTGGTTTAAAAAACAGCCGAACAGTAGGAAAAAGGGTGCTCGGGTTATTAAGGGGCTACGGGGCAACCTAGGAAAATGATCCTTGGACATCCTTATCCGAACTGAAGAAATGGGCAAATGCTTACACGTAACAGACGCAGATACTAGGCAATCGAGGTAGGGATTTCTAGTAAATCCCTAAGCCCTAAACCCTCGACCCTTCCCAACAACAACTGAGGCTCTTCTGGCGAACGGAACTGTGGTGACGTGGGGCCATCCCAGCTTCGGTGGCAACAGCAGCCACCTTCAGGAGCAACTGAAGAACGTCCGTCAGATCCAAGCGTCAGGTGGGAGGTTTCGAACAGAGAGTTTCGGGTTTAATAGAGGGGCCTATATAATTATTATCTATACTATTTTGGGGGGTACCTTATTATTATAACTATACTTCTACCCCAAAACCCTATTCTACTTATCAAGGCCCCTACAGTACGGTTTCGGGTGTAGGGTTTAGGGTTTAGCATCCCAGTAGAGACCCGAAGGCCCGGTTGTAATGTTATCGGGACACCAATCAATAAAGGGACCGTAATCCTGAAAAAGGTTTGGGGTTTAGGGTTTCGGGTTTGTGTTTAGGGTTTAGGGTTCAGGTGGTGCTTTTGCTGCCGTCTTGGAAGACGGATCGGTGCTGACCTGGGGAAACGACGAAGATGGTGGCAACAGCAGCTCCGTGCAGGAGCAGCTGAGTAATGTACGGATGATTCAAGCATCCAATGCGGCCTTCGCTGCTCTCAAGAACGATGGGTCCGTTCTGACCTGGGGCGATGACGACTATGGCGGTGATAGCAGCCACGCCCTGAGGCAACTGAAGGCCGTGCACCAGGTACAAGCCTGCATCGCGAACAGACATGGCACCTTTGCTGCCAGCCTTGACGATGGATCGGTCGTAAGCTGGGGCAGATACGCGGATTGCAGCTTCAGCAGCAGCACTGCTTAGAGCTGCCAACGAAAAAAGAAGCGAGAGATGAAGTGTTGGGATGGTTTTTGGCTTGAAGGTATTTCTCACACTGATTTGCTGTACGTCGTTGTATTGTCATTGAATTCTTGCCCTACACCCTAAACCCCAAGCCCTAAACCCTAAACCGCTGAACCCTAAATCTCAAACCCCTAAACCCTAAGCCCGAAACCGAGCCCCATGAAGGCAAGGCCAACAACCCTCCGCTCTAGTCCTGACGCCCCCAAGCTTCAACATGCGACAAAGTGGAAACCACCGTGATCCGTGCATCCTGAATCCTAAACTTAGGGCATAAGGGCACTATAAGGGTATTATAAGGGGTACTATGAGGGTACTATGAGGGGAGGGGTATTATAAGGGGCACTTTAAAGGTACTATAAGGGTAAGGGTATTATAAGGGATACTATGATAAGGGTAAGGGTATTATAAGGGGTACTATAAAGGTACTATGGGGGTAAGGGTAAAATACGGCATACAATATCCTGAATCCTAAACCTAACACAAAACTTAAACCCTGAACCTGAGCCTTATAGTGACCACTATTGTAGCCCGTATAGAACCGCTTCAGGAACTCTGAAGCGTGAGTCCCAGCCCCGAGACACCTGACGGCCTCGCTGTCCCTGGGATGGAGTTCAAGTCTTTGCTTCGGCAGTGGAAGCCGTTTGTGGATCTGGGTAACCCTGAACCCCAAGTCCTAAAGCCCTACAAAGAGACCCCAATACCCCTTAACTGAGGAATAGCCCCTTACACTTCAAGGTATATTGATTAAGGATTCTCACTTAAACCATAATATGTAGCTCCTTATACCTCATAGTTTCAGGTATATTCCTTATTTAAGGGGTGTTCGGCTGTCTGCGCAGAGCCCCAATCGGGTTTTAGATATTCCTTACTTAAGGTGTATTGGGCTCTCTGCGGTTTAGATCACATTTGAGTTTTGAAGAGTCGAAGGTGCCTGGTTGGAGTCAGGGTTCCGGGTTTCTTTCACAGGAGGTCCGTTCTAAAACCAGGTAGTCCAAAAACTAGTGGCCTTTATTTATGGTGTTCCTGCACTCAAACGAAAAATTCCTTGGACGGAAGAGAGGCCCCCAAAAAAGCGTGCACACAAAACTCCAAAAGCACGGCCCAACACCCCAAACCCCAAACCCCACAAGGCGCCATGTACACAACCTTCCGCACCCGGATGAACAAACATCGATCCTGGTGGGGGGTTTAGGATTTAGGGGTTTAGGGTTTAGGGTTCTAGGGTCCGGGCTCATGCTCAGACCTTTTGCTCACGTTTGCAACTTGTGCAGCCCTTGTGCAACCAAACCCCTCAAGCCTAAAGGCCTAAACTTTCAAAGAACATTTAGCATGGAAGCCGCGGGAAACCCTTGCACTACCATACAATTACGAAAACTCAGATCGAAGACCCTAAATCCCAACCCCAAATTCAACCCACAACCCAAAGCCCAAAACACTAAAGCCCTGCCCTTAAAGGAGCCCTTGCAGGAACCCTTAAGGGTACTATGCGGTTCGTTAGTGGGGCTCTTTTCAAGGATACTATGGGGTTCGATAATAGGGCTCCCTTTAAGGGTAATATGGGATTCCATAAGAGGGCTCCCTCTAAGGGTACCATGGTGCTATAAGAAGGCTCCCTTTAAGGGTGCTATGCGGTTCTATAAGAGGGCTCCCTTTAAGGATACCATGGGATGCTATAAGAGTTCTCCCCTTAAAGGCCCGAAACCCTAAACCTAAAACCGCAACCCTAAACCCCTAAAGCCTCAACCCCTAAACCCTAAACCCCAAACCCTCAACCCCTAAACCCTAAACCCTTAACCGGCCGACTCCTACCCCTTAACCCGAAACAGCCAAGCCCTAAACTGGTCATACTTCCGATGGCGCTGAAA